GAGCCCACTGTGCTTCCTCGGAGTCTGCATTTACCTTTTTCACTGTTCACGTGAACCTTCCTTGAGATTTTCACGAGCCTTGGCTGAGTTGGACCTTTTTATGAATGGTGTCGAAAAATTTGAAGGGCAGTAAGCATACTTCTTTTATTACCAAGGAGGCTGGTGCTGGGTGGGGGTGTATGTTACGGTAGTGAAGCCCAAACCCAGCGTCTTGCTCAGGCGAGGTAAGTGCTATGTCACTGAGCTACACCCCCAGCGCCAAGGAGGAATTTGAACGAATAATACACTTTTGTTGTAATACCTGGCTTTTTATTTTTCTATTTGTTGCAGTACTGGGGATTGAACCTGCATCCTTGCACATGCTCAGCAAGCACTGTACCACTGAGCTACATCCTCATCTCTTTTTAAGACAAAGACCCACTAAGTTGCCAGGGCTGGCTGCAAACCTGATCCTCCTACCTCAGCCTGGGTAGCTGGGAGTGCAGGCATGGACCACCCCACCTGGCTGCTAATCCATTTTTCAATTCTTGCCCCTTTCTATTGCCTTTTTCTTAATTTGTCAGAGCTCTTTTTTGTTATATTTGTTATAAATAATTCTCCCTGTCTCTTGTCATTTACCTTTGTTTATGCAACTTTTTGCCAATACTGAAGTTTCTATATTTAACATCAAATTTACAAAATACTTTCCTCCTCTAGTTTGTTTCCTTGTGTTCTTAGAAATTCTTGTGGGGGCGGGCGTTGCACGCGCAGTCGTCTTCCAGCTCACAGGAGGGTCTCCAGGTGAGGCCCACCCAGATTGCACAGTGAGACCCTGTCTCAGCCATAAAGGAAGGAAGGAAGGCAATCCAGCCTCGGGCGCCAAGAAGTAAAAATAGCCTCTTGCGTTTTCTTTTAAGACAGTTATGTCTTTTTAAAAAAGAATTAAATAGTAATTACCATTTTAGAGATGTATGTGCAGCCATTCCTTGTCTTGGAGGATGTGATTTCCGTGTATGAGATGTGTCCTTGATTTCAAAAGCGTAGTAAAAAGGTAAGTATTCGATAAAAAGAGAATAAACCTCCACGCACCCCCTACTCGAAGTAAGAAGTAAGCGTCTCACAGACATCCTTCCAACCACGAACTGGACCTTGGTCTTCATCGTCCTCTTGTCTCTCTGCAGCCTCACCCGCCACGCCCCTCTTCCTAGGCCTTGTGTCGCTCAGGTCGCAAGCACGGAGCAGGGAGCTCCAGTCCCGCAGCATGCGGGGCATTTCCACCGAGACCTGGAGCTCTGGGAGGGAGCAGCCGAGCTTCGCCGTCAGCCTCCATGCAGCTCCTGGGGAGTCCTGGAGACGCCCTGGGCTGGGTAAGGAGGAAGTCTTGGGAGGTCAGGGCCTACCCCAGGGCACAGGATTTGGGTGCTGTTGGAGCGAGGTGCGATTCCAGCCCGGACGCAGGCAGCACAGGTTGCTTCCTTGGGGCAAGCAGACCCCAGCTGATGGTTCTCCTGCAGATCAGAGGAGGATTTCATCAGCACATGGGTGAGGCCAGGCAAGACTGGGAAGAACTGGACCTGGGCCACGTCTGAGCTCCATTCTGCCCTGGGGTTGAAAAGAAAATGTGCAGCTCTGTATGCAGTAGCGGATGGATAGTCGGCTCTTTCTGGTTGTGGTAGTCGTGTTCCATAAAGTGGACGTGAACACTAAATTAGCAAATACCGTGCCTCTGCCTCAAAGGAGATGTGGTTGGAGTCCTACAAGCCTCTGCTTATAGTCTTTTCATCAACAGAGCTGTGCTGTAAGGAGCCTTGTTTTCTGTGTATTGCTGTTGAAAGATACTTGAGTAGATATTGTTGGTTCACTGACATTGAACTCATAGCCAACAGCGCTGTAACTCAGGCCCAAACCAAGCTGGTCCAGCTTTGGACACCAGGCATCACTTGAGCCTACGCTCGGGGCCCATTTTAAGTAATGAAATTGCCAACAGACAGTATGAACTGTGAAAAATGTGGCCCCAAATAGACCAAGAACGGCACATGCCTGTTCCCACTAAGAAAACTCCCACAGGAGGGCAGAGCATCGTGCAGGCCTTTCCGCTGCGCTGCGTGTGTAGTCAGCTGGCTGGAGGGGCTGCGGGCGTCGGTGGGAGTTTCTGTGTTGCATGGACGTGCACATCAGAAAAGCAGACGGTCGGATGTTCAGGGCCTGCCATAGGGAGACCTTCGGGGTTTGGGTGAGGCTGTGGAATTGGACGGGTGGACAGGACATGTTCACTTTGGCAGGCAGGCCGCGTATGTATGACTCGCGTCCTTTTCTGTTGTACTTCAGTAGGCAGCAGAAAGCAAGATGTGGTCTCAGGAGCTGACTGCCGTGCACCCTGCTCTGGCTGGGATTCCGGAGTCACTGTTCGAGAGTAGCCTTGCTGCCTCGCAGCCACACGGCTGTCATCCTGGGCTTCTGCCCTCCCTTGCCCCTGGTAACTGCACTGCTCCTCCTCCTGCTTTCTAGCTTTTATTCCTCTCCCTGCTCTTACAGCACAAGGCTGTGTGCTTCTAGAGCAAGGTTACACGGGAAGTACTTTTCTTCAGGGCTACATGTCCAAAAAGTTGTTCTGCTTCCCTCAGACAGCTCTAACTTCTCTGGGTGTAGAACTTGAATTCGGGAAGTGTTCGGGGTGTTGATGACATGAGTGTGTTACCTTTTAGTGCTGAAGACAAGGTGGTTTTTTGGTTTTGGTTTTAGTTTTGGGTTTTGTTTTGTCTTTTTGAGACAGGGTTTTGCTATGTAGCCCAGGCTGAAGTTGAACTTAGAGCGGCCCTCCTGCCTCAGCCTCCGGAGTGCTAGAATTACAGGTGTGTGCCACCACACCTAGCCTTAAACAAGGTTCTTTGTCTTTCTCCACTCCCTTGTCCATCTCTGAAAGCAGATAGAATCTTCGGACTCCAAGCTGGTGTATTATGATGGCCCTCCCCCTTTTAAGATTTTAATTTGATTTATTTTATTTTGTGCTTTTGAGACAGAGTCTTACTATGTAATTCAGGCTGGCCTTGAACTCCTGACATAGCCCAGCTGGCTTTGAACTCATGTCACCTTCCTGCCTGTGCCTCTTAAGCACTGGGGTTACAGGCGTGCGCACTTGTATCGGGTCCTTTTGATCTTTGTGTTGAACGCTGTGAGGGCATTTCAGATCCATGCTCTCTCCTGGAAGTTTTCTTGAGTTATATTGTTATCTCCCCCGTTTTCTCACTGCCAGTGTAGAGGCTGTTAAACTGGTGCTCCGGTTTGGTCGCTCTTGTGTTCTGTTTTCTCTTTCTCTCTTCATTCTCATCTTCCTCCCCTTTTCTCTCCTTTTCCTCTCCCCTTCCTTCCCTTCCTCTCTCTTCCGTTCCCTAGTTACCTGATCCCTCTGTTTTCACTAAAGAATGCACTTTATTCCTTCGTGAATGACCAGTGATGCCTTGAATTCTCTTGGTCATAAATCCTGTGTGTAATCCTCTTTACTGAATAAACTGCTTTCCCCTTAGCGAGGAGTACAATTCAGGAGGAGCGACTGAGCCCCTAGTGACTGAAGCGTCCCCTGTCGCGCGTCTTCAGCGGTTAGCCCAAGGTCTTTGGTACCCAGTGGTGCCCGTCCGAGACGTCCTGCTGGTCTGCAGTGGGGGTTATTTAGCTTTCCCTTTTGCCCGTACTTGATCAGCTCTTTCCCTTCTGCTCAGTTACTTACGTCTTCCAGCTTCTAAAATTGTGTCAGTATATTTTATTCTCCTTACCCTTGTGAGATTCTTTTTGTATTCCACTATAAAATTTTAAGATGCAGGCATGGTGGCGCATGCCTGTGATCCCAGCACCTGGGAGGCTGAGGCAGGATGATCATTGAAAGTTCAAGACCAGCCTGGGCTAAAAGCAGTGAGCTCAAGGCCAGCCTGAACTGCATAGTGAGACCCTCTCTCAAAAGGACAAAAAATGAAAAATAAAGTAAAATGTTAAAAGAGTTTCCAGAGCTTAGCAGAGGCACTTCTCGGCCTCATTTCCACAGCTGCGCGCTCACGTCTCGCACTGTGGCACAGGACACCACGTCCAGGGCAGGGCTGGCTGGGCCATGGGTACCCAGAATGCAGCTAGTGCCACTGAGGAGCTGAGCTTTCCATTCTAGGTAACTTGAATAAATTAGTTTAAGTCATCATGCATGGCTAGTGGATACTGTCCTAGACAGTTCTAATCCTAGTGAAACGGGAGTACAATTAAGTTCTGGCTAACTGTATCTACTGTAAGGAGGTTTTCCTGTTTCCTTCTCCCTGATTTATTTGCTTACTTGTTTATATCAGTGGACTCCTCCATGCCTGTGTTACTCAGAGGTTATAATCTGTTCCTTGTGTTTATTTTGATGCTCAGATTGTATCCAGTTTGGCCAGTAGAAGACGCTCCGTCCATGTCCTCCTAACATGTCCCTGCCCTTATTTCTGTCTGGATCATTCGTTCTAGAAGCAGCTGTTTCAGGCTCGGTACCTGTCCCACCCAGGCCGGGGGTCCTCCACGGTGTGCAGGGGGCCCCGGTTCCTCCCGGTGGAGGATGCTGTGTGGACACTAGGAGCTGGCTGCTCGCTTGGTGCGCCTGGTGCTCGTGGGCTAGCGCTACTCCTAGGCCTGTAAGCTGCCACGCATTTTAGCGACTGTTACTAATGGGACAGCACAGATGCAGACCATTCCCATCATCGGATAAAGCGGCAAGCTGGGGTTACTGAGATGCGGGAGTTAGAGGCCCTCTGGCCCGTCTCTGCACAGCTGCACTTGGTCTAAGTGGGTTGCAGCTGGCTGACAAGGAGGGGACCCGGAGATACCAGGACTGGAGCCACTCCGCTGCTCGAGGGACGCTGACCTCCTCCGGCTTTCTCTCTCCCTCTGGGCCTCCCGTTACCTGAGCATAATCCGCAAGACGGCTGCCAGAGGAGTCTGAATAACTCTGCTGGCAAATTGAAGACCATGGTTTCTTAACTTTCGCGTCACTGACCTTTTGGGCCAGGGAGAGGCTTGGTAGGATGTCCAGCAACACCTCCTGTGTGGGGCTGGGTATGGCAGCCCTGCTCCTCCCCGTGCTGACAGCTAAGGGTGTGGCCTTCCATTGTGACATGGCCTTGGGCAGCCAGGGAGGGGACCAGGTGTGGACCCAGCACTGCAGAGCAGAGTACAGAACCGCGGGCTTGGAGATCAGAGACGTGAACCGCTGCGGGGATCCCTGGAGAGGAAAGGGGAGGGGACATTGGTGTGCCTGCGGCAGCTCTGCGATGTGCAGGGACTGTCTTCCTGTTTGCTTTCTTTTTAGTCCAAATTGCAGACCAGTTAATAGCAGCTTGTTTATATTCTGCATTTGGTGTCAGGTGCTCCTCAACGTATCCAGAGCCTGTCTGCTGGAGGCCCTCTTAGTTTGAAATCTGTGATGGAACTGGAGCAGGCAGGAAAAGCAGAGCAGCCGTTGAAGGGAGGCTTTGGGAGGGCTGAGTAGACTTTAAATTGCTTAGCCTGAAAAGGAGAAGACAACTTCTTGTCTAAGGCGGGTTTTGAGACCAGATTTAGAACTGCTCTCTGTAGGGAATGTGGGCCGAAGGACCCTAACCTTGCATTTCAGAGTCTGAAAGAGGAGCTTCTTCGGCGGCTGCTCAGGATGAGGCACGGTCAGGGGCGAGGCAGGTCCCAGCGTCTCCTCGTGGGTCTGGGACGGGTCGTCTTCTGCCGTGTGCCTTACTCACCCGGGACTCCATCGCACGGGAAACTGATGCCATTGAGCAGACCGGCTCCTGCTCTCTGCTTGTACGGCTTGTGGTACATTCAGGCTTCCCCGCCCCGTCTTTTTGCTCCTCAAACGGTTGTAGAAAAACAGTTTTAAAATCTTCTACCAGTAGGCCAGGAAGTTTCAGGATGATTTAAATGTGTTTGAAATTACATTCTGCTTGAGCCAGGCATGATTGTGCACACCTGTGATCCCAGCACTTGGGAGGCTGAAGCAGGAGGGTCACTGTGAGTTTGAGGCCAGCCTGGGCTACATAGTGAGTTCAAGGCCAACCTGAACTACACAGCAAGACCCTGTCTCAAAAAAAACAAAAAACAACAAAAAATTGTATTCTGCTTTCATAAATACATGTAACCTCCGTCTGGACCAGAAGTTTCCTACTGCTATCTGTGAATTACTGGTAAAGCGTATGGAGGGAAGGTGTTTATTCATTAATTTGAGACAGGGTCTTGCTTTGTACTGCGTCCTGGCCTTGACCTCACCTGTGTAGCCCAGGTTGGCCTCAAACTCAAGGCGATCCTCCTGCCTCAGCCTCCTGACTACTGGAATTACAGGCGTGCACCACCATGCCTGACTAGCCTAACCCTTTATTTTATTTTATTTTTTTTTTGGTTTTTGGTTTTTCTCCGGTACCGGGAACCGAACTCACGACCCTGCGCTTGCCAGGCAGGCGCTTGCCAGGCAGGTGCTTTGCCGCTGAGCTAAATCCCCAGCGCCCTAGCCTAGCTCTTTAAAAAAAATTTTTTTTTAAATTTTAAGACAGAGTCTCTCTAAGTTGCTAAACTGCCCAGGCAGGACTCAAACTTGCAATCCTCCTGCCTCAGCCTGCCAGTTTTGGGATTACACATATGTGCCATTGTACCCAGCCAGATTTCTTTATGTTTGAAAAGATAGAAGCTAAAAATAAATGTTTGCGAATCGTATTGACTGTTCCTCTAGAGGGGTCTGAAAGAGTGAGCCCCGACATGCTTGTTGCCCAGGAAGTGTTACACGGAGGGGCGAGGAGGGCTTTGAAGCCCTTAACCAGGAAGGGAGATGGATTTTCAAAGAGTTGAGGAAACACTGCGCTATGAGCTGACGGAATCATGACTTGGGGTGGAGCTGCGTTCAATGGTCACCCTCTGAACGTAAATAAATTTCTGAAGGCACCTGCTTCAAGAGTAGCTCCTTAGCCTCAGCATTCTGTTCTGAGGAAGGTATGTAATTGGTAGGATTAGCCTTAGAATATAAAAAGTTGAGAAAAGCAATAGTAAGTAAAAAGCTCTGAAGACGTCCACTTGTAAAACACGGGCAGATTGTTATCAAAAGAGAGATTTTAGCAGATAACTCTTTCTTGATTACCTTTTTAGTGGTTTATGTCTGCAGAACTTACCTTCACTTTGCAGAAGTGCTACATATGGACCATTGTGTTGTATCTTGATCATTTTCCGTTCCCTCCCCTCCCCCCATAACTTCGTCTTAACCGCTGGTTTCCACTGCTTCCTGTGTGCCTTTGGAACAAGTTATTTGGTGTCTTTGTGCCTCAGTTTATTCGGTGACCAGCTTACTGGCTAGGGTGACAGGCACCACGGCTGGTAACGGGTTAGTGAGGGAAGACTGCTGACTAGCGAGGGCCTGCGAGAGGCTCTTCTGTGCCTTGTTAGACCTTGTGAAGTGCTTTTCCAGATGCCCCTGCAAATTTGAAATTTAATGTATTTATTACTAATGTTCTCCTTTATGGGTTTCTACAAAATACTCCTGTAACCACTAGATATTTACATCAAAATTAGAACCTTTCCTAAAGGCTCTTGTCTTTTGATTGGGCTACAGCCTAAACCAAGCTTGCCCTGTCCACGGACCGCCTGTTAGGTCTTCAAAACAGAGGAGTAATTTCCACCAAGCGCACACTGTCTGAAGTATAGTTAAGGTGAACTGCATGTGTATTATATGGGGTGATTTGTTAATTTTGTTTTTGTTTTGCAGCCTTGAGGACAGAGCCCATGGCCTCCACTGAGCTGCTTCTCAGCCCTGAAAATACTAGTTTTTATATTTTTTTTAAAGCTTGTTCCCCACCAGCTACCCTAATCACTTAGTTACAACTTGCAGGGACTCTCGCCTGGACTGACACTGCCTCCTGGTGGCCAAGTCCCAGAAATGCCTGGAGCGCAGCATTCCAGTACCTGTTGTTCAGCCCCTTCCCTTTGTCCCGGCTTCCATCCCTGTCATCCTTGTGTCAAAGTCCACTGCAGACGCACATTGATCCCTGTCCTTTTCACTTCTCACCTGTTCCTTTGGCAGTGCTGAGGATGGACACTAAGCCCGTGAGCCTGCCAGCAAGTGCTGTGCCGCTGAGCTGCGCGCATAGCCCTTCTGGTTTTGCTTACTTGAATACTCTAGGAAGAGGTGCTCCTCTCTTTATTCACATCACTCATTCAGCAGGTATGCGCTGAATCCCTGCGTCAGTCCGGTCCTCTGTACACCTTCCTTCAGTTTGTGGTCAGAAAACAGCGGTGAGGGGCTGGGGATTTATCTCAGTGGCACAGCACCTGCCGGGCAAGCGCAAGGTCTTGAGTTCGATTCCCGGTACTGGAAAACACCCACCTCCAAAAAAAGAAAACAGCGCTGAGAGATTCCGACAGCTCACTTAGGCCATGCAAGGCCACTGTCACTAAGGTAGTGACAAACGCAAATCAAGCAGTTCTTCCAAAATGGCCAACTTCCTCTGATCTGAAAACTTTCAGGGGTTGATTAAACTTTCTTCTATAATAAAATGCCTAAGGGGCTTGGGATTTAGCTCAGTGGCACAGCGCTTGCCTGACAAGCGTGAGGTCGTGAGTTCGATTTCCGGTACCAGAAAAAAATATAATTAAATAAAAATTGAAAAGTGCCTAAGAAACTCTTTAAATATAATATTCAGCCTTTTCATTTGCTTTGTTAGATGGATTTGAACTGGTTCTAATCAGCTACACTTAAATAAGTTCTAGCCAGGCGCAGTGGTGCACCCCTGTAATCCCAGCACTCAGGAGGCTGAGGCAGGAGGATTGCCATGAGTTCAAGCCAGCCTGGGCTACATAGTGAATTCAGGGCCACCCTGGACTACATAGCAAGACCCTGTCTCGAAAAAATAAGAAAAGCAAAGAAAAAAAAAGAAAGTTTAATCACACCTTTCCACCTATCTCATGACTTTGTAAAGATTGTTAAAGTAGTATATGTAAATCATCTGGCACCTAATGAATAATAAGGAAGTTGCTGCTAATAGCACTTACTAAGTTGTGAGCTCTGTGCAGCAGAGATTTTTATTCACTGCTGTATGCCCAGAAAAAATTTCAAAAATTCTTTCATCTTTCTCCCTCTTCTTTTTAGTGATGTTGGGGGCTGAACCTAGTGCTTCCTGCATGTTAAACAAGTGCTTTCCCCTGAGCTTTATTCCTACCCCCTCCAGCAAGTGTTTTTGTTCACTCTTACATCTTGGCAAGTAGCACATATGTAATTAATTCAGAAAGGATGGATGGAAGCTGAGGCAGGAAGATTGGAAGTTGGAGACCAGCCTGGGCTGCCTAGGGAGTTCAGGGTCATTCTGGACCTCATAGCAAGACCCTGGAGCAGGGGGTAGAAGTAGAAAGTGGATTCCTAGTCCAGCAAGAGTTGTACATTGCTGGGTGAAAGTATGTTTCAAACAAGAAAACTAAGTGTGAAGAACACACAATGTAAAACCTGCCTACAAATTTCCCACGTTTACCCGACTGTACCATTCTGTGTCACTAGTTCTTTTCCAGATCTTGCTCTCGCTCCTGACTTTAACATTTCCCTTTTTCTGCTCCTGGAATCTAGTTAGCTCTGTATCTCACTCTCCCCATAGTGTGATCAAACCCAGGGAATGCGGAGCTATATCCCCGGCCCTTTTTGAAACAAGGTTTTGCTGAGTTGCACAGGCTAGGCTCAAACTTGGGACCCTCCTGTCCCAGCTTCCCACGTGGCTGCGATTGCTGGTGTGCATGCTGTTGCCTAGCTGCAGGTCTTTTCCTGTGTGTACAGAGAGACCTCTTTCCTCGTCTCTCCCTTCAAAATATGTCGTAGATCTTGAAAATTAAATAGTTATGTGTATACTGAAATAGATTTTTTTTTTTTTTGCTCTGTTCCTAAATCTAAAAATAAGTACTTTTTTTGAGGGAGGGTCTCACTGTCTGGCCTTGAACTCACTATATGCCCCAAGCTGCCCTCGAACTCTTGGGCATCTTCCTGATCCCCAAGAGCTTTCTGAGTGCGAATATTACAGGCATGCACCATTATAGCCAGCTTCAAAATAAGTACTTTTTAAAAAAGAAACAAGCCCCTAAAATTACCTGCTTTTTGTATGTCTTATCTGTCTCCTTTTTTTGACAGGGTTTCATTACCTAGTCCATAGCTGGCCTTGAACTCATGGCCCTCCTTCCTTACCTTCCACAGTGCTGGGCTCACAGGCATGTGCCACCATATCTGGCACCTGTGATTCTTAAATAGAAGGGGGAAGTTTTCCATTCTTGATGTATACACCCAGCTTATGAAGCATTATAAAATTTGTCATAGATTTCCCTAGCAATTTCGCTTCTGAAAATAATCCTTCGACCATCTTCTGTAAGCAAAATAATTTTGGCTACTTCAGCTTTTCACTAAGTTACTATAGTTCATTTTTAAAATTGGTTTCATGTTCATTTTTGCATGACTTACTGCCTAAATGCAAAGAGCCACCTCTTGGGAACTGCCTTTGTCATTATAAAGTATTTTGGTTTTTTTGTCTTTTTGAGACAGGGTCTCCCTATGCAGTTCAGGCTGGCCTTGAGCTCACTTTGTAGCCCAGGCTCAACTCTTAACTTGCAATGATCCTCCTGCCTCAGCCTCCTCCCAAGTGCTGGGATTACAGGGGTGTGCTACCACGCCCAGGTTATAAAGTTATTTTAGTAATACATTGGTACCTTAGTTCACAAACTTAATTCATTCCACAATTCTGGAAAAGATGGCTCTTGCAGTGTTCATCACCTGATGCAGAGTTCAAAGACAAAAACAAAATTTTACCAAACACTTCTGTTTGCAAAGAGAAGAGTTTGTGAACGGAGATACCACTGTGTAGTTCTGTGCGCAGGTCTCAGTATTAAGATTATTGTATTATTGTATAACACATACGATACATAACCTTTGTAGGAAGTCACGCTTGTTGGAGGGTGCCTGAGCCTTGCTCACAGCCTGACATTATCACACTGGGGTCCCCCCCCCCGCCTTTAAAATGCTATAAACAAATACATATGAAAACTTCTTGGTATTTACACACAATGGAATACTACTCAGCCATAAAGAAGAATAATTTGAGTCATTTGCAGGAAGATGGATGCACCTTGAGACAATAAGTATTCAGTGAAAGAAATCAGACACACAGGCTTAAATATCACAGGGTTTCTCCTGTGAGAACCAAATTGTAAATACAGAGCAAAGTAAAAGTAGGAAGTAGGGCAAAAAATCTCAGATAAAAAGGAAATCAAGAGATAGGGGAAGAGGGCAGGGAAGGGGAATGAAAAAGGAACAAAGATGTGGTATGTACGTGGATTGTAACTGCGGACGTGTGCTAATGAAAATAAACAAGAAAATGAATGAAGCCAGGTGTGGTGGCGCATCTGTAATCCCAGCCCTCAAGAGGCTGAGGCAGGAGGATCCCCTCAAGTTCAAGGCTAGCCTGGGCTATAAAATGAGTTAAAGACCAGCCTGCACTGCACAGTAAAACCCTGTCTCACAAAAAAGAAGAAAAAAAACCCACATAAGTAAATAAAGGAAGCCGGGCACGGTGACTCATGCCTGTGTTCCCAGCGCTTTGGATACTGAGGCAGGAGGAGCATCATGAGTTTGAAACAAGCCTGAGCAGATAGTGAATTCAAGGCCAGCCTGGAATACAAAACGAGACCTTGTCGCAAAAAATACGTTAAAATAAAAATAAGAAAGAAAAGACATTATACACAGTATGTCAGTGGCGTTTAAAATGCCCGTTCCCACCAAAGCTATTGTTTCACTGACTTTTGTTCATAACTTTATGTTTGTTTCCCAGAAGTACTTAATATAGGTAAACACTGGGATACGAATGTATTCAGGTGTGGCTTTTTCAGATAGGGGCTTCAGGTAGACCCTAATCTTTTCATTTGGGTCCTGCTGTGTCACTGTCAAAACTGGGGTTGACGTGTTGTTATCACCTTCGTCTGTCTCGCGAGGTAAGCGTAACTGGGTAAAGGATCACAAGTATGCCACCGTCACCTGGTGATGTGACTTCGCTGGTTATCATCTTACAAGCTCGTAAATGCTTGCTTAAGTCAGTTTTTGCAGAATATGTATTGTATTGGTTAAGTGATAACTAAACTTGCGGGGAGGAGCAGTGCTGGGGGTTGAACCAGGTCCTCACACATACAGCTTCCCACTGAGCTGCACCTCCAGCCCAGAGCCTCTTAGGAGGGTGGGGCGTGGCTCCATGGTAAAGCTGTTGTCTACCAAGTGCCAGTCCCTAAATTCCATTTGCAGCACTGGAAGAAAAAAGAAAGAGCCCAGCACAGTGGTGCACACCAGTAAACCCAGCACTCGGGAGGCTGAGGCAGGAGGATCACCATGAGTTCAAGGCCATCCTGAACTACATAGTGAGATTCTGTCTCGAATAAAAAAACCAAAAGAAAAAAAGGATGGTCTGTTTGTTAGAGGATTAATAGTTACTGGACCCCAGCTGAGCTGTAGGTGAAGCCTGAGACCCGCCCCGGTTCTGTAAGTGAGGCATTAGATAATTCGTAGGCGTGCGCAGGGCCTGGCGCCGTCAGCATCTTTACTGGCACGGCAGTGTTGGGCAGCACCGCCGCGCGTCAGCTTGGCCTCACCTGTGTCTGTTTGTCCAGGCGTGTTCTGCTGCCAGCAGAGTCTCAGATGGGCCACGGGAGAAAGCAGTGCCCAGAGCCTGGTTTAGCTTCTTGGCACCTGGGCTGACAGGTCCTGCCCCGGTTGTTAAAACGTTCCCTACGCCTGTGCAGTGTTGTTAGTGTTGAGCTCAGAGCGTCAGCATGCAGGATGCTGTTTTGAGTAAGTTCACCTTGAAGTGGTTCATATTTCTGCTCAGGTGTTGTCTTTTTAAGGAAAATTTTCTTCATCCACACGACTTCCCCTCTGCTCGACTTGTCTGCACGGTGCCTGCCTCCTCTGCAGCCCCGGCGCTTTCTGTGCCACTGTCCGCTGGTGAGTCCTGTGCAGCAGCGGCGGGCACCTCGCATGGAGCACAGAGGTGCTGCGGAGCGGGCGGCTGGGATGTCGTGGGAGTGACCTGCGGACTTGTTCAGAGCGGCTCCGCCGGGGGCGGAGTCCGGGGGTTTTCTGTGGCTCTTCATCACCCCTCGCACTGGCCATCACCTGGCTTTCGGCGTTCTGCCAGATGCAAAGTGAAAGCTCGTGGTGTTATTTGCACCTCTTTGATAACTAATGAGTGAGCACCTTTTCATGTATTTATTGGCTACTTGTATTCTATGTAGTGCTGGTTGTCAGTTTACTTATTTTTTTAGTTGAATGTTGATCATTTTCCTATATCAGAATTCCTAAAGTATTCTGAATACCAAACTTTAGTTTTTTTGTGTTTGGTTTGGTTTGATTTCAGATAGGGTCTTGCTATGTATTTCATGCTGACCTGGAACTCACTTTGCAGCCCAAGCTGGCCTCAAACTCAAGGCAGTCCTCCTGCCTCAGCCTCCAGAGCACTGGGATTGCATGGTACACCAGCACGCCCAGCTCTTCAATACCAAACCTTTGCTTGTCTCATGTGTCATACTTAGCACTCTGGGTTTTCTGCGTAAACAGGCATACATGTGTGATTTTAAAGTATTTTCCATGCTTGCTTTGGCAACACATATACTTACAAAAAAAACAAAGATTTTTGTACTTTAAACCAGCCTACTGAGTTTTATTAAAGTGATTTTTAACATCTTGAAGTTCTTCAACTGCTTTTTGTTTTATTTTATTTTCTGTTTGGAGACAGGGTCCTGCTGTATAAGCTGAGGCGTCCTTGAATGTGACCGTCCTCCTTGGCCTCCTGAATACTGGGATTGTAGTTGATACCCAGTTCTGATCGTGAACGCAGACAGTCCCATTCTGGTGCTTCTGCTACTTCTTTCTGGTGCTACTTTGGCTTTTTTGTGATTTAAAGTGTACTCATTCGTTGCACATTTATCCAGTGAGACGCCTGATGGTAAGACGCATTTGTGGCCACTCTAACCCTTTAAGAACTGTGCGGTAGAATGTGGGCTCAGCCTGTACGGAGACTGCTTGTGGTGCCACCCCTTTGGGAGTTTTTATTTTTTTCTCCACTCTGCCGTTCCCCTCCAGGTGGGGTGGGAGAGCTTCACTAGGACAGTGTGTACTCGCTAGACAGGGTTTCCAGCTCTCCAGACGCCAAGGGGGCCCCGGGGGGTGGGGGGCGCAGCTTTCTGAGGAAACTGCTGCTTCCGCAGGCTTTGGTCTTTGCTTCCTCTGCTTTGCCCTGCAGTGCTGTGACAATCTACACTCAGATGTTTACCTGGTTTATCAAGCGCCCTTGGTCTGAAAGCTCCGCTTCACGCTTTAGGTGCTCGTTCCTCTTTCGCTCCGCTTTTACCCCCTTTCTAACCTATCAAGGCATCTCACAAGGGACACCGACGTTTCGTCAGACATCTCGAGCTGTTGTCGTTAGGAGCACCCGGCCACCACACTGGGGGGGATTCCCTACCGCGGTCGTCATTGTCATTTCTCGTCATTTTGGAAAGCGTGTGTAGGATTAAATCAAACCCTTAAACACGTATGCAAATGAAATGGCGAGTGGCCTTTTACAGCTGCTAATTAAAGAGATTTCTTTTTTTTATAGGTGTCAGCTGTGATGCATGTTTAAAAGGAAATTTTCGAGGTCGCAGATATAAGTGTTTAATTTGCTACGACTACGATCTTTGTGCATCTTGTTATGAAAGTGGTGCAACAACAACAAGGCACACAACTGACCACCCAATGCAGTGCATATTAACAAGGGTAGATTTCGGTAAGTATGTGACGACTGTGTGAGCGCCGACCGTGTGCAGCTCTGCGTGTGCGTCCGTGAAGGAGAGCGTCCTAAAGCCGCCCTCGCACATGCAGCGCCCAGTTCATTAAAAAGAGAATGAGCCTTGCTTTTACATTCTCAGTATTCTTTGTCAGTCGTTGTTTACTTTTTATGAAAGAAATTACAAAACACATGCAACTGACAAGGTATAAAATAGCATGGGCGGAATCCTGCCAGCAGCTCACGGTACCCATTCTTGTGCTTTCGTCAGAAGACAGGTCACTTTTGCAGTTTGTTAGAGGACACTGTCCATTGGTTTCAAAAGCTATCATGTTTCAGGTCATAATTTCATACTCAGCTGACAGAGTTACTGGTTTTTTTTTGTTGTTGTTGTTGTTGTTTTTCTGGTACCGGGAATCAAACTCAGGACCTTGCGCTTGCCTGGCAGGCGCTGTGCCGCTGAGCTATATCCCCAGCCCCTGACAGAGTTATTATTTGTCTTTTTTATTGTAGCCAGCTTTGTGAGTCTGAAGTGCGTATCCAGTGACTTGATTTGCATTTCTGTGGTGGTTAATGGCATGTGCCTCCTTTATTGCTCATTGGCCATTTATATATCCTCTTTGAGGAAATACCTGTTCACATCCTTTGCCTATTTTAACAGATTACATATGTGCCTTTATTACTGAGTTGTACTACCTCTTTAACAGGTGTGATCTGCAGACATTTCCTCCCATTTTCTTGTCTTTTTACTTCCTGGATCATGTATTTGAACACAGAAGTTTTTGTTTTGTCTATTGAATGCTTTTGGTGTCCTATCTCAAAAACCACTGCCAAATCTAAGGCCACAAAGGTTTAAACCTGTGTCTTATAAGACCTTCATAGTATTAGCATTTACATTTAGATCTTTCATCCAGTTAGAGTTAACTTCTGCACATGGAGTCAGTAGAGGGCTTGGAGAATATTACCATCTTAATAATAATAAATCTTCAGGGCATGGTAGCCCACACCTGTAATCCCAGCACTTGGGAGGCTGAGGCAAGAGGCTTGTTGCAAGTTTGAGGCCAGCCTGGACTACATAATGAACTCAACCAGCCTGAACAGCATAGCAAGACCCTGTCTCATTAAGTCCACCCCCCGCTTTTATGAGACAGGGTTTCATTATGAGTTTAGACTGGCCTTGAACTCACTTTGTAGCCCAGGCTGGCCTTGAACTTGCAGCAACCCTTCTGCCTCAGCCTCCTGAGTATTGGAATTACAGATGTGGTCCACCATGCCCAGATTGAAATAATAATAGTAATATTAAATCTGATGATCCATGAACATAGGCTATCTTTTCATTTATTTTTAGGTCTTCAATTTCTTTTGACAATGATCTATAGTTACCAGAGTATAAGTTATATACTTCTTCCATTAAATGTAGTCCTAATATTTTTTTTTTTTTGTCCTGTAAGCAAATGTTTTTCTTTCTTTTTTTATTGTAAGTGCATAGAAAGACAATTTTTGTTTATTTTCGTATTTTTGGCTCTCACTGTGTAGTCCAGGCTGGCCTCAAACTCAGCAATCCTCCTGCCTCAGCCTTCTGAGTACTGGAACTTCAGTGATGTGCTGCCATGCCCAGCTGAGTTTTGTATATAGACCTTGTATCTTGTGATGTTGCTGAAATTAATTAGCTTGAACAGGTTTTTAATAGATTTCTTTAGGATTTTTGATACAATAAGGCCATATCACCTACAAATATGTAGGACTCATTTTAATTCTTCCTTTCCATCTAGATTCCTTTTATTTACTCTGGTTAGATTTCTGAAGAAAATGGGCAACAGTAAATACTCTCTTCTTGTATTCAATTTTAGAGGGAAAGCATTCAATCTTTCACCAGAGGAATAATGATTATAGGTTTTGGGTTTGCACTCTTTGTTGTGTAAGGATATACTTCTGTTGTTGTTGTTTTATGTATTTATCCTCAACTACCCTATAGCCACCTGACAGTCTTGTACATATATAATAACTGATCAATATATACCTAATGTGCAACTGCTTACAAGATAGTTTAAGTCTCAAGAAAGAATATAGGCGAGCTGGGGTTATAGCTCAGCAGCATAAGTGCCTGCCTGGCGAGCGCAAGGTCCTGAGTTTGATTCCTGCTAACCACCACAAAAAAGAAAAAAGAAAGAAAGACTATAAACAAATCTATCATTTAGTGGACACTTTTGTTTTCTTACAAAAGAAATATTACAGTGTTAAATTTGCCATTTAAATGCCGGGCATGGTGGTGCATGCCTGTAATCCCAGCACTCGGGAGGCTGAGGCAGGAGGATCATTGTGAGTACGAGACCAGCCTGGGCTACAAAGTGAGTTCAAGGCGAGCCCGAAATGCATAGTGAGACCCTGTCTCAAAAAGACAAAAACAAAAACAAAAATTTGCCATTTATTTCTTGTTAAAGAATTAGATAGTTCTTTTTCTTTCTTTCTTTCTTTCTTTTTTTTTTTAGAATTAGATAGTTCTTATAGTGTAACATACTTGTGAAATAGTGTAACATACTTAATATATTTTGGCTTTTTCGTGCATGTTAATAGCAGAGAAAAGTTGACATTCCCCGAGGTACCCTCGTGAGGTGAATAGATTACTCCCACAGACCCTGGCTTGCTGTGTAGTAACCCACTTAGGTAAAGTGCTTGGTTGGTACCCATTCAAGTTTGCACCCACGGGAACTGAATGCTGAGTGTCCTTCCTGCTCTAAGTGTAGTATGTTCAACGGACAGATATGGTATGATTGAAAATAGTCTTTTTTAAAACTTATTGCAGTAAAAGTCATTGCCAAGTGTAAGTGTAGTTAGCATGAGGGAAGTAACTAGAGGGAATTAATAGCAATGTGCCTTTTACTCTGACAAGTTTTTTTTCATTAAAGCATTCACTAACTTTTTATCATCCTTCGGAGAGTTGCATCTGGGAGTTGGTGTATTGACCATGTACGTCTTTCCTTTTCCTTTGAGTACTTGTGTCCCTGTATATAGTACACCCTGCTGATTCTTTCTGTTGGTGTCAGTATTGCCAACTGTATACAGAGAGATAAAGAAAAAAATTAAATTAGATACAGATTTTGAATGAATAGCTACAAAATTAAACAAAGGGAAGAATGCATTATTCAACTTTCTATCCCTGTGACAGCTTAAAAGGCAGAAAGGGGCTGGGGATTTAGCTCAGCGGCACAGCGCCTGCCTGGCAAGCACAAGGTCGTGAGTTCGATTCCCAGTACTAGAAAAAAAGCAAAAAGCAAAAAAAAAAAAAAGGTAGAAAAGAGCCAAGTGTGGTGGTGCACCCTGTGAGCTCGGCTGCTTAGAAGACTGAAGCAGAAGGGTGGAAAGTTTGAGGCTGGCTTGGGCTATTGAGACTCTGTCTCAGAATTTCAATAGAGGGCTGGGGGTTTCAGCCCCCGCATCATACAACAGAAGAGGGAGGTAAGGTTCATTCTGGCTCACAGCTGCACAGGTTTCAGCCTGTGCTCACTGGCCCTGTTACTTTGGGCCCTCGGCAGCGCAGTCTGCCGTGGTGGCAGCGTGTAGTAGAGCATCATGGTCTGGTCTCCTCTTGGCAGCGGAGGAGAAAAAGAAGCCACGGTCCCAGTACCCACTTCCGGGGCACCTCGCTTCTCCCACCTAGGCCCTCTCTCCAAGATTCCTCCACTCTGAGCGAAGCCGCAGGTTGGGGATCAGTCCTTTAACACAGGGCCTTTGTGGGACACTTGAAACTATGGAGCAGGGAGGAGACTTGCTCTCCCCTAAGGCAGTAGTAGCTGTCTGGGGAGGCAGCTTTAGAAGGGCACCCAGCGCCCTGTGGAAATCAGGGTATGACAGATGTAAATGGAGAGGTTATTGGCAAGTATATCCGGCATGCTTTTTCTTGACATTTTTGTACCATATGAAACATTAAAAAGCTGACAATGACTGTTTCTCAATGCAATTCCATTTTATCTTTCAGATTTGTACTATGGTGGGGAGGCTTTCTCTGTAGAGCAGCCACAGTCTTTTACTTGTCCCTATTGTGGAAAAATGGGCTATACGGAGACATCTCTTCAAGAACATGTTACTTCTGAACATGCAGAAACATCAACAGAAGTGGTATGTGAAGCAACCTCATGTCTAGAACAGTTGTTGTAAAGTATGTCAGTCCTAAAATTAATAAAGCTAGGTCACCATCGTTTACCTCTTGCTTAATATACTAGTACTGTTTGCATAATGATTATTAAAATTAACTTTAACAGCAAATGTTACAGTCCTGGGAGTCTGCATCTCTACAGGGTGTTTATTCACGCTGGCCTTTCTCGCCCCGTTGCTGGTAGCACAGCGCAGGTGACCAGGTTCAGGAGTGCTCCGTTAAACGCACCGTGAAAAGTTTGAAAAGACCCCAGTGAGTCTTCATCACATCTCTTTGTATTTTTACGCTTATGTCCTAGATTTTTCTTGTGCAGGGAACTTTTCGTGAGGAAATGCAAAGCTCTTTGCGTAGTGAGTAGTGATCCATTACCAGGATTCCCTGCAGCGCATCGCTGACTGTATGTGGGTTTCGTCAGATCAGAAGCCTTGCTTCCTGCGTCATAGCTCCGGGTTCCTTAGCGGGCTTCCTTCCCTGTCTTACTGGTGGCTAAAAGCCAGGGACCTGGAATAATGTACGAAGCCTCCCCTTGAAAGCTTTTGGGAGGTTTTACTTAACATCTGAGGCAGCATGCATCCAATTGAAAAATGACAAAAGCACTCCAAAAAATTTCTGCCTCGCTTCTTTATTGCCAGCAATAATAGGTTAAATGAAGGCTTGCTTTGGAACTGTAGGCAATGAATTTGAAAAATTTTCGTAAAATGTGCAGATAATTGCGTATACATCAACTAATAAGCCCCTACATATGCTCAGAGCAAATTAATTAAAATCTAGAGACATAAAGCAGCACACTGAGACATAACAGATAAGATAGCCGAACTCGGCCAGAGGTCTTCCAGGTTCTCTGCTTAACTGCCACACATCTGCTGTCATGAGGAGCACGGCTCACCTTCATGCCTACGGACAGTGCCAACCGGATGCTCACAGGTGATGGGGGGTTTATGCGGTGCAAGAGTTGGTAAATTCACTTTATACAGTCTTTCAGTCAAATGCTCATCACTAATAGTGGGTCAGGAGTGCTCTTGTCTTGGTCTAGCAGAACCTCAGAGCATTGTCGTCACATTTTACTACAATTCTTCACTTCTGTGTGGCCCCCCGCCCCCACCCCAGCCCTCCCTTCTTCCTTTAGTTTGCACTGTAACTTTCTTCCTTGTGATTCAGTCCCGGGAACACTAGTGAAAGCCTTGCTCATTTGCACCTCCTTCCTGGTGGTTGTGGAAACCTGTAATCGTTTTTAAGTTTGGGTACTTCTTTCACCCAGTGCAATAGGATGGGGGGTGGAGGGAGTTGCCCTTACTGTAAATTAGGTAACCTTAAAATGGTATACTACTTTTATTACCCTACTGATTCTGTGGGGCAGGACCACAACCCAGTTTGCCCACATCTAAAATTGGAGAATCCAGTGAAAATTTAAGTCCTTTTCATGAATGAAAAGCCAATTTTTTAAGTCAGGCATGTTGGCAGAACGATCACAACTTTGAATCTAGGATGGGCCACATAATGAGTTCCAGCCCAGCCTGGACTATACAGTGAGACCTTATCTAAAACTAACAAAACAAAACCCCAAATTGTTTGTTATTAAAAATTAAGAATTCACACTCACAGCCTTGTCTCTGTTCAGTTTGTGAAAGTGAATACTCAAAATTTGTGCACTCCTCTGTACCTGACACACTTTGAAAATTAAACACCCACTGCTGACAGATGGTTGTGTGGGGTGTGCTCAGTTATTCACCTTCAAGTCCCAGGCTTTTAGAGAGCGTGTTTGGAGGTTCTAGCAGGGGAGCACAGCTGCTCGTATACCCTTGATAGAGGAGGAACGGTCCTCCTCTATCGCGGGTGGTCGTCCTCTTCGAGTGCGCAGCTTCGGGAGGGACGCACATGGAGCATTGAGGGAGGAAGGGGACACCCGCCTGGCCAGCCAGATCAGCCGAGTCAACCCTGGCGATCAGTGGGGTGACAGATGTCACAGCCGGATTGGCCTCACATCCCCCAGGCTTTTTTAGTGTGTAGGCAGCCACCAAGGCAGTCATACTAATTCTTCCTGCTGGTTCCTGTTGACTGTCAACGTTCTCCCTCCTCTGTAGCCCTTCGTTTTTCCAGGAGTACTGCATCTCGCGCCGTACCCACCCGTAACACACCCAGACATTTCAGAGTGAAAACTGACAAGCAAACAGAAACCAGTGTGAAAAGCTACAGTGGTGACTGCCTACGTACTGGAAGCCTGCATGTGTGGTATAACAGTACAAGGCTTTCTTCCCCCTTGAGTCCGCGGGTGATGAGCAGGGGTGGCATTCAGCACGAGCACGCGGGTCTGGCTCACGGAGTCGTGTCCATTCTGAAGGGCTGATGCCTGCCCATCCGCGCTGGTCTGCACATACATGGAAAGTGTGTAGTCAGCTGTGGTGTCTTACACGGTGTGCCCTGTTGTCCCAGTCTTTTGCCAAATTATGTTTTCAGATTGGATGATAAGATTCAAGAGTGTATCACATCATTTTGTAGGCGTTCACATTCACACAGCGGCTTGCTGTGCCTCCTTTTCTGTTCCTCTTAACCTTTTTCTAAATGCCCAGTTTGTTATCTTGCTTTTGCTTCCATATTACCTGCCTGTGTCCTCTAGCCAACCAGCTTGCCCCACCCTGTACAACTAACCCCAACCCTGAGAGCCGCGCCCCTCCAACCAGCGTCCCTTAGGAAGATGTAGGGGCGCAAGGATCTCCTGCAGATAGCTGTGCCACTGTGGGAAATGTCTGCTGAGAGCCAGCGTAGCTCGTCCAAGTACCTGTGTTAATAGCTTTCCTGTTACAGATACAAAATACTTCCAGGCAGAATAAGATGACTTAAAGGAGGAGGAGTTTATTTTGACCCACAGTCTCGAAGTTTCAGTCCATGGCTTGCGGGTTCAAAAGCAGAAATAGCGGGGCAGGAGGCCTGGTGCAGAGGAAAGTTGTTCACACCACAGCAGCCAGGAAGCAGGAGGCAGCAGGAGGAGGAATGAGGATGTACCCATCCAGGCCACACCTCCACGGCCTGCCCCTTCTGCCCAGCCCCCACCTCTAAACAGGTTTTCGATCTAAACCATAACAGCACCAAGGGATCGCTACTCAGCTACATACAGCTGATGTCATGGTTGATCAGAATGTAGTACTTTCACCATTGCTCTCTTGTGCATGCTTGGCACTTGCTGCCAGATACTTCTTGATGTGTACTGTGGTATTGGGAGTTGAACACAGGGGGCCTATGCACTGAGCTTCATCTTCAGCCCTTTTTTAATTTTCTATTTTGAAATAGGATCTCACTGAATTGCCCAGGTTGGACTCAAACTTCTGATTCTCCTGCCTCAGCCTCCCAGAGTACTAGGATTACACCAAGCCCAGCGAAGAATTCTATGTTTGGAAGTGCACTGTCTTTGCATATTTTAAAATAACATGTATTTTGAGCTTATTGTTCAAAATCAAATAGTACTTTTGATTTTAAAGGTGATCCAGTCATTAGTATTCCAGGAATGATTTTTGAGTTGCTCTTGGAAGGAAATGGTTAGAGACCCCGCAGAGATTCCAGATGTGTTCTAGGGTAGGCCTGTACTTATGTATCATAATAGTTTCAGAGCTAATTCTGTAAGAAGTCAGTTCCTTAAGATGATATGAAAACCCAGAGCAGAATGGCCTGGGTTATTGTGTGAATGAGTAATAGCAGCTCTTCCAGGAAGGTGTCAGTGCTTTGCATCAGAGGGCATTGTGTCTGGGGAGGACTGCTTTGGAGCAGGGTCTTCCTTGCATGGTACTTTCCTCTGTTGAAGTAAAATCCCTTGGGGAAGGTAAGACTGTGTTCAGTATGGGAAGGACCCCTGGTGTGGAGGGCCGCTGAGTGAGACAGCAGGTATTAGCGACCTTTGTGTGCAATTCTATTTTGCTTTGGTCCCCTCTGGTTTCTTCTCTTGTCCTGTGGAGTACTGGTTTGTCTAGTTAAGTGTCCAGACAGTAAATTTCAAGTCAGTGCATAGAAATGTGTTGTGGGATTCTGGGGAAGACCTGTAGAAAGCACAATAGACCAAAGGTAGGAGCTCTCCATAGCTGACAGGTAGGTTCAGACACTCTGCAGGCAGTCCCCAGCCTTGTGTCTTCCCCTCCCACCACCTCTTTTTTGTGAGAGGGTTTCACCGTGTAGTTCAGGCTGGTCTTGAACTTACTATGTACCCCATGTTGGCCTCATACTTGCAGTGATCTTCCTTCCTCAGCTTCCTAAGGGCTGGGATTACAGGCATGTACCCTATGTCTAGCAACCACAATCACCTCTTTTTTTCTGCCCTTTCCCTTTGGTTAAACACACACACACACACACACACACACACACACACACACACACACACGAATTATTTGAAGATGCCGATTTTGGTTTTCATGGCTGAGGTCATTTTTTCTAGAATTCTCTTCCAAACTCAGCTTTGCTTGACAAACTGATTATGACCTTGAGAAGAGGAACACACAAAGCTCTGTTATCACCAAACCAGTTTAAACTCACTGGAAGTAACCCAGACTCACTAACTTAGGCGGAGTCCACCTCTGAATCTACTGTCTTCCTGCCCCACACCCTCCAACTTGCCGCTTCTCAAAGTCTGCAGGTGAAAAGGTGACTACCCCCAGTGCAGGCGGAAGAGAAGTAGAGCTTACAGTGGGATTTTTTTCTCCCCCCTAAGCATAAGTGCTTACTCTGGAGTGAAATGTGGACGGATACCGAAAGCGAACAATTCTGATTCTTTGGGGTTAATTTCAATGTGACTGAGTTCTGCTTTTTCAAGTTTTGTTAGTTCCCAAGACATTAGCATACATGTAAGTTAAATTTCTATACAAGAAATATGTTGAAAACCAAAACTTAATTATTTCTTAACACTTTCTAAAGTGTGTACAAAGATGTAAGGAAAATTTAAACTTTCTGTATATAGCGAAAACCCCTTAACATTCTGAATGCT